AAACTCTGATTGCTGATAATAGACATTGATGTCTAGATAATAGAAACGGGATGGTTTTGGTTTTTTTTGGATGCAGTAAGAGTCTGACACTCCCTCAATACCCAGAAGTCTGGGATACTGCCTGATGTGCGGACAAAGTGGTATCAATGGCATAAGGGAGGTGGGCGTTAAAGTGTTAACTACTGTAAATATAATTCAGCCCACTCCTTCAAACAAATACGAGGATTATGTTACTCTTTATTAGTTTATTACTCACAATTTCAACCTTCGCAGAATTTTCGAATCACCTAATTTTAGACATTAATCTTTAGAACCATTTTTGGAGTGATCCCTACTTTTCTATTAATTTAACCCATGCGAAGGTAACTCTGTCTTTAGTGTTGAACGGATCTTGAATCTTAACTCAGAGATATACATACCTTGAAATAAAACATATACAGATAATAAAACGAGTGGTCGCTAGTGCGACTGCCGAGCATGGGGTCTCGGGTTCGATTCCCGGTTCGGGCAAAGTATTACTGGGTTTCAAAAAAATCTCAGTAGTAGCACGGAGTCTGGAAATGTGCCCGGTATATGGCAATAGGCTCACCCCTATTACATGGGACTCATAACAAAAATAGTGAAAAGTGGGTGTTACATTGTACAGTGTCATAATGTACACCTCTGCCTACCCCTTCGGGGATAAAAGGCGTGATGTTATGTTATGTTAAAACATGATTAGCTTTGCGATTTCGCAAAATGCCTACAAAACTTGAAGGCAATATCGAAAATAAACTCTGATCTAACCAAGGTAAGGTCTAACCTCACAAAACACACATAGGCTTTTCATAGCAACTTGTCAAACGAAGTCATCACAAATAATATCCGATTTCAGCTTTTTTTAGACACGTTGACAGCCGCGTCGCTTTGGTAGTGGACGGAAATCGTTCCGTATTGATTGGGTCAACTTTTAAGCTTCGTAATTTGTATGCGAGAACCGATAGAGGATTCGGACAAACTATTTTGGATAGGGTTTGCATTTTTATACTTTCATTGTATGCGGTAAGTTAATTAGGAAGACTTAGACTATATTATTGATGTATAGGAGTTTATATATTTGTTTGAATGTAATAATAATTTAGTAAAGAGGTTAACAGGGATCCACATTACGAAATATAACTTCGATTTCATCTTTAACAGCCAGTGTAGTCCACTGCTAGATTACGGGTCTCCGGGCCTTCTTTATAAACAGGGGATGGCCATAATCGTCATGTTTGGCAGGGGGTTAAGAGATCGCAGTTTAAAAGGTTCAAGATTTAACAAAGAGCGCTTCTCATTCACCTAGCTACGTTATAAGTCCCACGTGTCACGTGTACGTTATAAGTCAATGTGGACAATGATATAGGTTTTTGATTATAGAAATTGTCACCCTTTATACTATATAAAGCCAAGGATACAATAGGGTACAAATGTCCTGCGACATGTCTGGCATCAACGTCGTTGTGGACATCCATAGCGACATTGTTGTTGCCTGACATGTCGACCAAAGTTTGGCAACGTCATGCTATTGCACCTAATGTCGCTAGCGACACGTTTCGCAGGACATTTGCCCCCTAGTGTATCCTTGGCTTTATATAGTATAGAGGGTGACAATTTCTATTATCAAAAACCTATCTCATTGTACACATTGACTGGACTCAACACCTCATTAGTATCTAATTCATGCTCACACTGACACAAAATATAATAATATTAAAGTGTTGCATTTAAGTATGATACGATGTGGTAATAGAATTGTATGACTCACTACCTAGATTGTATGGGAAAACCCATTGGAACTTAGATAATATCTAATAAGAAAAGCATTAAGTTGACTTTGAACTCGAACTGGCGACACTATGCGGATTGAATTATTTAAGTTTCAGGAAGTACATAGTATTATTATTATGTGATTGTTAGTTTTAGTGATAGGTAAATAAGACACACATATAGTGTCAGTTATCGTAAGGGAAACTGTCGAGCAAAGAGGTTCCTAGTTCAATTCATGGGTTGCGTTGGTTCTATGGGGCTCATAACATAATTAGTTAAAAGTTAATATTGTTCATATAAATATTCTCCGGTCATCGTAAGCACGGGTGACTCGCCACCCGACTAGAATCAAATCCGAGCGTACTCAAAGAGCCATCAGACCACCACAGATGGGGCCCAATAGGGCTAATGCCGATACGGAGCCGCGGAGGACTTAACGGGTTACCGGGTCTCCGGCTCGAAGTGCAGAAGTAGGAACGGGGTGGTGTTTAGTCAGTAAGAATCTGACACTCCCCCTCTAGCCTCACCCGGGTGTGAGAAGACGAATTGGATGATTTTCCCCCTCAACAAAAAATCTTATAATAATGCCCCTGTCTATAAACATAGCGTTTCGGCAAATAAAAATTCATGATGTTAAGTGTCGCTTAAGTATCTCTTAGCACCACATTGTCATGTAAAAGACACAAAAAGAATAGTAATTGCAAATTGCAACACTAACTGCACCTTGGACGTCTAACAAGGATGCAAGTCTGAGTCATACTGAGATAATGAGAGCCGCGCTCATTGCAGCCACGAAAGTTTTATCTACGACTGATATTAATTACTATGTATGTAGTGCATTTGCATTGCCAATGTGGGATGAGCAGTTATCTAAAGAATTTATTAATAAAATTTTGAAGGAAAATATAATCGATCTTTCTGTGAAAATTACGTCAGGAGGCATCATGGATAATACTACTATGTGTATGAACTTGTAAATATGTGTATGAATTTTTCAAATCGGATGTTCATAAAGAATCCATTGTACGTTTAGGTATGTATTATTATTTTACCCCGTTAACTAAAAATCGCGTTTTACTCACGTAAATATACTGAGAAAAGCTCTACTAGTTTCGAACCACAGAGAGGATCTTCTTCATGAGCAGCGTGCGCGGTCGCGGCGATGTCGCACAATACTCAGTATATTCACGTGAGTAACCCTTGATTTTTAGTTAACTCAGTATGTCTCACGATAGTTATTATAAAAACATTATTTTATCCGATTAAAAACCAGGTAAAAATCACTAACATATTTCAAACTTCAGTACAATTAACTGGAAAACTATCTCCAACTACTATCACATACCACAAAAAGCACTTTAACCAGATAATAAACCCTTATAGCCCAGTCATTTTAGGGGTTTACCTCGGAATGAAAGATAATAAGCTACAAATTGGTATAAACCTTTGTTTTGTCGTTCTAATTGTTGTCTCAAAAGTCACAAATGATACCGCGTCCGCGTCTTAAGATATTGAAGGTCAAAGGTCATAAAAATTGGTTTTTCGCGAATATCTCGCTTTCTATTGCTTAAATGATATTTTTACATATGATAAAAGTTGTAGAGTATAAAATTCTCTACAATTTTTGTTTCATGTTTTTTTTAATACGATCAACCGTTTTTGAGGTAGAGCGCGAAGAGTGCGCTGCGCACAGTCATGCAAGGTCAAAGCGTGAGTTACGGTTATCAGTACGTTATGTATTGTCATCATCCTCATTATCGGTCATATTTATCTCCAAACCCTCCAGAATTTCAGGATCGTATGCGTTTTCTTCATCGGGATTACTTGGATATTGTGCAGCGTTCAGGCAAGCTTGTCCTTTGCACTGGCCACAAGCTAAAGAACATGGTAGCCCTGATTTTCGGCATCCACAGCGGGAACGACAACCATTTTTGCAATTGCAAAATATTATATTTAGTAGTTCGGTTGGTGCTGGAGGTAATAACGTTCTTATAGGATTCCATTTTCAAGCATCCAGCCTCATTCTTAAGGTTCTAAGTAATTCCCTAACCACGTTTGAATCTGGTAGTAGACGCTATTTATATGTTGATGAGCTGCTACACTTGTTGGTGGAAGTGTTGACAATGGTACAAGTTTATTTATTTTCGTTAATTTAATGAATTGCGTGTAGCGAAAATGATCAGTGTTGTCCTCAGATTTTGGAGCATTATATAATGCCAACAAGATGCGCACTCCATTTCCAAATAATGTTTGTACCGGGCAATTTTCTTGTTGAAATACTTCCACCACCAAATTGAGAAATTTTCTCCAATGCTCTAGTAACAGTTTTTTTTTTTTTTTAAATAGCGCAGAAGTCGTGTCACAACCACTAAATGCGTGTAAAAATGTGATTGAGTAGGCCCAATTAAAATAACGAGCAAATCAATTAATACAATAGAACATCTGCCCCGGCTATAAATAGAACAGGTCTAGAATAGGGTAGGGACAAGTATATCCAGGTATATGTATAAGTATTAAAAAATTTACACGTTTTGAAGAAAACGTGTGTAATGACGTTTTAACTAAAAATATATATTCCAGAATTAATAATATACTATAGTTGAATAAATGTAAATAATTAAGTTACTGATTTTAATAAAATATCAACAATGGCCATTGTTTAATCATTATAATAATTTAATAAATAATACTTTAATAAGACTTTACATAACGTACTGATAACCATAACTCACGCTTGACCTTGCATTGGACCATACATTATATTTTTATTACTTCCACTGTCACATCTTGATTGTCTTTTTTTATATTTTATTTATGCTGCATCGTGCCTGGTGCTGAATAAATGTTTTTTCTTTCTTTCTTTCTTTCATTACTGTGCGCAGCGCACTCTTCGCGCTCTACCTCAAAAACGGTTGATCGTATTAAAAAAAACATGAAACAAAATTGTAGAGAATTTTATACTCTACAACTTTTATCATATGTAAAAATATCATTTAAGCAATAGAAAGCGAGATATTCGCGAAAAACCAATTTTTATGACCTTTGACCTTCAATATCTTAAGACGCGGACGCGGTATCATTTGTGACTTTTGAGACAACAATTAGAACGACAAAACAAAGGTTTATACCAATTTGTAGCTTATTATCTTTCATTCCGAGGTTGACCCCTTTTTTTACCTAATATGACTGGGCTATTATCATAGATAACATACCTGGAGTGAGATCTAATTTGTCTATGTGGTCGCCGAGCACGGATGCCCAGCTCTGTAACTGGTCTAGTATACCCCACGGCGTTGTCATGGCGACCGTGAGGAGGACCAGCGTGTGAGGGAATGTCTCCTCGCTGAGGGCAAACTTGAGGAGGTTTGTGTGCCCTGGATCTCCGTCCAGCACCCATACACTGAGACGTGTTTGATCTGTGTTGGAAAGTAGAATATAGATTAGGATATATTTTCTTTAATACATGTTTATTCTTAATATTGTGAGTTTATAAATTAATATACTCTAAGGGCAGATTTTTCTAAAAGCAGATAAATATTTTAACTGAGGTACCTAATTTAAAAATTGGACAATTCTTCCATGTCATGAAAAATCGACCCTAAACTATATTTATGAAGCGATACTATTTTAAAATGTAACTTTGAAATGTTCTCTTTGATAGTTGAACTGACAATATCATGATATTTGCTGATTTTTTGGAGTTTTATTTTTGTCCTCTCTTGTTAAAAACATTACAACAAAAACAACCATAAATAAAAACTATAAATATATACATAAAATACTATGATCTAATGTTAGTATTTCTAAAATTAATTCAGAATTCTTATACTGATATCATATATCATTGTCAGTGATAATAACAACCTTTGTACTCTTTTAGAACTTATTTTTTTTATTCATTCTCTAAACAGTTGTACTAAAAAGTATTCTTATTTGATTATGGATAAAGATGATTAAAAATAATACATAATAATATGACCCGTAAGACTTAATTTTCTTTGATTTGTATACAAAAATTTTTACATTAAATTATGTGATGCTTAAATATATCTAAAAGAATTGCCTTTTTATATGTAACTCTATCACTATTTCTTGCATTAATTTCTGTATCGCATGTAAGATAATTACATGCAATGCTGAGCATGTAAAAGTGTTTCTTTGTTATATTTTATTTAAAGCCAATCTATATAATTTCTGCTAGAAATTAATAATTTCATATTATTAATTTAATTTAAGTAGAAATTGAGAGTTTCAAGAAGGATGAAAGATGGTTTTCATGCCATCCAAACACTCTCACCAACGAACTTGCGAAACCGAGGCTCACCACGAACAAGCTAAAGCAGAAGAACATGTCTTGAAAAGGCAGAAGGGACGCTGGTTCCTTTACCAAATCTCCGTTTCAACTCATCAGCTTATAGTCTTGCGACAGTTCATCAATTCAAATAGAAAAAACAATTAACTTATTGGATGCCGTGTTGGACAATCATATCTGACGCTAGAGGAGGATAAGCCTTTAACAGTTTTTATCAACAGTTAAAGGCTTAAAGTGCATTGCGATCAATGAAACTTAAACTATAAATACCAACTAATATAAGACAAGAGTCCATTATACTAATTAGAATTATTACAAAAAGTAAATCTTGATTCAGACATTACTGGCATAATAAAATCAATCACTGAAAGATCTGAATTCATAATTTAATTTCTAGATTACAAAAATAAATTAACTTTTATGTATTAATTAATATTTCTTGTATGCTTTCTCTTGTTTTATAGTTGTAGTAACTATCTGATTGTTTCAATATGCTTACTCAGATTGTTTTTTAGACAAAATTAGCCAGTATGTAGTTTGTAAGAACTTTGTGTTGGATATGAATTGTAATTAATTAATTATGTGCAAATTAATAACTGAAACCAAGATATTCATCATTCTACTTTATATATTTCTACATATTCTAATTTATTTATTTAGTTTTATAAATTATCTTCTTTAAAATTAATATTTTGACAGAATCTAATCAGAATATAGTATACATAATCATTTGAACTAATGAGAATGTATCTCAAAACACTGAAATGAATGTGTTAAAACAAGGCATATCTTATTGGTAGATATTAGAACATATGATTCATAAAAACAAATCAATATTCATGACACAGTTCAAATAGATTCCAATAAGAATGATTAACTTGAAGATACTTAATAAATAACAAATTTAACAGCTTCTACATGCCTCTTAGTGACTTTATTGGTGTGTTATAACAACAATAGTGTCTGCTCTAGTAACAGAATGCAAAATAGTAGTTCTGGTATCATGAATGTAGGTTAGATCAAAAATCTAGTCATTAAATACTTGTTTATGTACCAAAATATGATGTTTAGTAACAAAAACACAGACTTACCATCTCGATATTCATCTCTAACGTCTATATAAGCATATTCGAGTGCGGAACCCTTTTTAGGGTCTTCTACCCCTTGTAATTTTGCTACCAATGTAGTTTTACCAGTCTCATTGTCACCCAAAACTAAAACATTTTTGTTTGAAGGTAGTTTTGTGTTCCCTTGGTTTTGAACCTCTTCTAATATCGAAGACCTGAAAATTTTTAAGCTTATAGTACATTCATTGTCATCACCATCGAGAGGTTGGTACTTGGACGGGAAAGTGTACACCAATGTGCGTATTTGTCGCCGTGTGAGAATGTTGCGTTGTTATTTTACATACAAAGGTAGACAACGCAGCTAGGTCACATATTTCTCAGCTTCATAGCTTGACATCACGTAGGTGTGACACATTGGATCCCTATATGGGGAGTGCATGTTACCCGTAAAATTAACAGTAAACCGTTACCATAGGTTGTCCTTGACGTCTCCGTTTTCTTTCTTTTTTGATTTAAGCCCATTAGCCTGGCCGTTTGTCTCCATTCTTCAAGTACGATAGAAGATAACAACGGCACAGAAAGGCTTTTCTTTCGTTTTCGTCTCTTCTGCCGTTCATACGTCACTCTCGCGATGATGCACTTATTGCCAGAATGAAGAATTTATATTATACTGTTAGATTATCAAACCTCAATTTTGAAAAAGATATTTTTTAAATATCTTAATTATAGCCCCAAAGAAAACACTATCTTCTTGGTTTAAAAATATCTTTCAACATTTTATTCTATTAAAGACATACGAGAAATAAACATGTAATGAAATTTTTTATACGACTGACAACATTGTGCACAAACTTTTTAAATTTATTGTTGGAGATGTGAACTAAATAATCGACTACTTGGTTGCACGAGAAAGGTTCTCAAACAAAATATTAGCCTAGGTGATTTTAGTTACATGTATGAATCGAACTATATTGATATAAATTATCTTAAATTACGTAATTAGGCGTACATCAATTTTGTAATTAAACAGACTCTAGATGTTAGTAATCGACTAAACCTAGTTTTCACTAGTCGATTTTTCGAACAAATCGAGTAATCAGCTGTCGAATAGATTACAATCTACTGATCACTTCCGCATCTCTAGCCACTGTTTTCCTAAGTCAGTGTCAGACAAAATACAAGTAATATCACGAGAAATTATTTTTAAGCCTAATTAAAACTTGATAGCTTTATAACAGTACATTGATATTAAGCAGTTAGGTGAAGAACATAGTGGATATTATTACTTAAAAGTGCAAAATGTCTAGAAAGCCGAGATCCGGGAATAAGAGTAATTTGTCTCAGGTGAGTCATACACATTATTTGTTCGTTCATAATTTCTTAGGGTCTCGTCCGGTTCTATTACTGTGATTACAGTTAGTTTATTTATAGGAACATGTCATTGTGGCTATACAATAGTAAATAATAGGTTGAAGTTAATCTTGAGATGTTATCAGCTGATTTTGGTATTGTAAACAAAGAGTTCTATATTATTGTTCCTTTATGTCTAAAAAACTGTTAATAAGAAGAAGCCCGCCTTTTGTATCCCTCATTGTGACCATAGTTACTTTTGTTGAAATAGATTATATTACAACGATTTTATAATCGATATTTAGGTAGATTATAATATAATACTTAAAGTTTCGTATTTTAAGGAAAAAATAAGGAAATGTCTGCCAAATATTCTTTTATCTAACTAATAAGCACATGTTTGAGTTATAACTGCAAGTTATGAGTGTAGGATAATGATACAATCTGTATTATGGTCTCAATTGATAAATTAGGCTGTAAGGACATAGTCCTTTGTTGTCTGGATTCTGGAATAATCTAGATCATTTTTACTATTAGAGTTGAACTTACCATTTTATCCGACTTCCATACCATAAGTCTAATCAGTTTCCTGTGTACAACATTATAATATTGTGTTTTATGTAGATACTGTTACTGTTTTTTTAAGCATAGACTAAAACTAATTTAAATGATATTAAAAAAATAAAAACACGTTGTTGAAGTTGGAATAGGTAATTATTATAATCGTTAATAATAAATTGTAACAGTGATTAATACATTGAAATAATATTTTTATCTGTATTAAACATACACATTTATCTTTTTTATGTTTTATTATAAATCAAGGACATTATCTAGCACACATTCATTAATGTGTAATTTATTCATTTTTTTATTTATAACTAGCTGACCTGGCAAACTTCATTCTGCCTTATTTTTTTCTCATTCTTTAAAGTTTTTCGGGACTTTCATGAATATTTCAAGACCAAAATTAGCTAAATCGGTTCAGCCGTTCTCGAGTTTTAGCTAGACTAATCAACAGAAATTATTATTATGTAATATATATATATAGATTTTAACTACAATACCTCAACTCAGTTAAAAATATAGAAAAATGCATACAAAACATACAGCATGCGAAATTGTTACTAGGAAACTAACATAACATCTAAGTACCTAAACTTTTTTATTTAAATATACCTACTTCCTGTTTGAGGTAAAACCAGGTTTATTATTAGCCTCTACGTAATATTAGTCATATATATTTTGAAAGCATGAATTGAGTATGTGGTAATTAGTAAATAACAAGTAGAGGTTACAGGTAACATAAGAGCAAAGAAATGGAGCCACAAGTGCTTTTTTATTTTATCAAACACTCTATAACTTAAAAAAATACTCCTTTAACAAGATGCTCTCATTTTGAAGGTAACTAAATTGCCTTCTATACGACATATGTTACCAATTAATAAAATATTTGTATTACAAAATATTTATCAAGAAATGAAAAAGAAAAAGTGGTAGTGACTCAGTTTCTTTGCCCCTTAGTGTAGTTAGATGTAATATGATTAAATAAGTAACATAGCTAATGGGAATATTGATCATGTTGTTGTCTAATTTGAGTGTGATCATATTAGAAAAGCGATCGAGAAAAAGTGACATTAAAAAATGTCTTGCTTTTCCGAAGAAATTGTTTGATAAGATTCATAAACAACAAAAAATAATAAATATGCACCTTAATTACTTTTGAATGTATTTTAGTGTTACATTGTTCTCGCACAATCCAAACAACAAAACTTGTTACAGAGAATTGTATTGTGAACCTGATTGAAAAAGAGTAACCTATGGAGTTCCTTGTTTGTTCTTCTCTATAGGAATCTACACCTTGGAATGAGCAAATTGCTTCACTTTTAATTTGTTGTTGACGTTCAAAAGAGCCGTTCTGGTCTAATTGAAATAAATGATTTTGACTTTAACTTTGAATTAAAATTAATAACAGAGTACAATAACAAGAATGTATTACAAAAAATAACCACATTGACATTTTGCAATATCATTTAATATTTTCTTCCTTACAGTTCGGGCTGCTAGACATACCAGACATAAATGATGATGATGAGCCCCTTGACTTATCAGACGATGACTTTGACTTGGAAGCGGAGCTGGCAGCTATCAGTGGAGGTGGTGGTCACAGACAGAAACCAAGGAAACCTCCTCCGGTGCCTGCGGCAAACTTGGATGCTATGATCGCTGAGAGCTTGAAGGATATACCTTCTGATGATGAGGGGTCAGGTGGGTGATTGTGTTGTTGTCTAGTGGTGTAATAAAAATGTCTTATGTATGTCTTAGTTTTAGATTTATTGTTTTTATGTGATGTTGGAATGAAGAAAGTGCTTATTTTAAATTTTATGGATAAAATAATTTTCAAATCGAATAGATGTCTTGTGAAATCTTAAAAATGTTTTTTTTTATGATATTGAAAATCAAGATTTAATTTTTTTATTTTGTTTTTCTTAAAAACGTTGCCCCACCCTAGGATTTTCTCCTGTGTCGTGGGTGCGTTACAAACATGGAAGTTCACAAACACATTACATCCAGACCCGAAACAACAATTTGTGGATCACACAAAGAGTTGTTCCGTGCGGTTGCGCGGCAGCCAATTGCCCAGCCACCGCGCCAACCGTGCTGTCAAATAATCGACACTTCAATCTATAGGGTAAATGTTCGGGAAAAATTAGTATCTATTGATCTTCTTTTAGGAGACGAAGACGACCCTGATCTGCTCAACGAACTGCAATCCTTAGCAATAGATGACGATGAAGCTCCCGCTCCTCCCCCGCGCACCGCACGCCCCGCGCCCCCACCCCCTGGAGCTTCACTCAGCACGGACAGTAGCACCATCAGCCTCCTACAAGACAGAATCACAAACTACACAGTCGCTGAAAAGAATGCCAAGTCGAATGGTGAAAGCAGTCGGGCTAGAAGGTAGGATCCTTAATTATTATAAAGCAAATCTGTTTGTATGGCTGTGTGTGTGCGATAAACTCGTAAACAGTTGAATGGATTTTAATAGGATTCCACTTTAATAGAAAGGGTGATGAAACTTTAGGTGAATAGTAGGTATGTAAGTATATGTAAAGGTTTCAGTTTGGCTGGCGAAGCTGTCGTGACGTGAGAAATATGAAAAAAAAAAAAATTTTTTACTGACTTTAAAACAAAAGAGGTTCTCAGATTAACCTGTATGTATGTATGTTTGTGCGCGATTATGTCGCGACTGGCTGAACCGTTTTTGATGCGATTTTCAGAAAAGTGTTTGTTCTTATATTAGAAATGTACTGTTTTACAAAATTGTGCGCATAGAAATGCTATATTTTCATTTGAGATTGCGTTGATAGTGAGTCTCATTTTGAATATAAGTTTGTATTTAGTTCAATGTTTAAACTTTAACAACATTGCGTACGAACTATGCTAATTAGTGCTCACATTTCATACTAACAGTTGTGTTTAGCTTGTGTCTAATAAGTAGGTACAGTGACCAGCAGAGCGACCTATATCCTTTTCGTTTTTCTTTATTAGATTTTAACTTTATTCTTTTGGTATAAAGTCGGAAATCCAACAAAAACAAAAATTGACAGATTTAAATAAGTTTATCTGTTGGACAGCCTACACCTTAGTACAAGTTTGTTTTACATTTTAAGTAACCGAAACGAAACCTCGTCCAGCGCTCAGAGGGCCAAGCACGAATACTTAACTATCGCATTCGTATCGTAACAGTATCGAGCGCGTTAAGCGTTCTGAGTACCAAGCACGAATAACTATCGCAATCGTAACGTAATAGTATCGAGCGCGTAAGCGCTTTGATTGGTTGGTTTACTGGAGCCGGCCAATCAGAGCACCGAACGCACTCGATACCATTACGTTACGATTGCGATAGTTATTCGTGCATGGTACTCTGATTGGTTGGTTCACTTGAGCCGGCCAATCAGAGTGCCAAGCACGAATAACCATCGCATTCGTATCGTAGCAATATCGAGCGAGTTAAGCGTTCTGATTGGTTGGTTCACTTGAGCCGGCCAATCAGAGCGCCGAACGCGCTCGATACTATTACGTTACGAATGCGATAGTTTATTCGTGTTTGGCACTCTGAACACCGGAAACCGTCTCGTTTCGATTACTTTAAACGAAAAAGAAAAAGAAACTAAGCCCTCTGATTGGTTGGTTCATTGGAGCCGGCCAATCAGATCGCCCAACGCTTACTCGTATCGATCACTTTAAACGTAAAAGAAAATCGTACTAAGGCCTCGTACAGTGAATAAGAAAAGTCACTGAACTTCTAATATAGGCACTATTAATAAAGTTTTGATATACTTCAGATATTATTAATTTTTTTTTTTTTTTTTTTAATTTATTTACAGGGTTTTTTCTTAATAGAAAACATCACCCCGATTATTGAATACAAAAAAACAAAAAGAACACTTACATTTAACTTAACCTACCCGCAACCTAGTACCCATAATAATAATATTAATAAGAATTCTGGCCTCATCCGACAATGGCGAAGCCAGAATGCTATTATAGTAGCCTACATTACAATTTCCGACTTCAAAGGCGTGACGTCTTTGATCCCCAATACGGCTGCACTCGGCAAGGATATGATACACGTCTTCGACCACTCCACAAACAGCACAATTGGGTGAGTCCACTTTACGCATCATAAAGCCGAAACTGTTAAGCGGCACATGACCGGATCGAAGCCTCAAAGCCATCACGACTTCTTGTCTACTCATGCTGCCCACGTTGAACCAAAGCATACGAGGAAGTGAGGGTTGAATAGTTTTGTACCAGATGCCTTTGGTAAGAGACCTTATGTCGAAATATTCTGACCAACTTTGAAAGCATTTGTCTCGAACAGAGGGTAAAAGTTCGGTGTGCCAGGGTAAACAATTAAAATAAATCCCATCAGACGCAGCCTCTTTTGCCAAACGATCAACAATCTCATTACCCTCCAGTCCAACGTGAGAAGGTATTATTAATGTAACCTTTTATTTTTGACTTAAAACAGGACATTCATTTATTTAGATTCAGTCAGGTATCTAGTAGCTAGAACCTATTAACACAAATTTTATGCCCACAATAAAGGTTAACATTACTAACTACACAAAAATGTAGGTACTTAAATTTTTTTTGACCGCACTTCGTCAAAAATTTGCAAGGTATGCATGACGCTGTATCACTCTCGCACACCATTTATTAGTCGTCCGAACGGTAGCCGCATAGGTTCGACTATTCAAAAATTAGCGTGGTTTCCGAAAACGGGAAAATTTTGTGATCGAGACTTCATTTCGGGGACAACGGGGCTAGGAATTATAAATAGGGGCAGTCCTGATCAAAACGGGACGTCTGGAACACGTTATATATTATCGATTTCATCTGCTCGAGGGAAAATGAGAACAAAGAACATTTCTGTGTAGGCACTTAAACAAAGGAATGTTTGTGTAAAGCAAATTATTTAAACCGCTCTGTTGCTGAACTTTATAAGTACGGTATCGAAATAACACGATCGTTTAATAACACTTTGTTCATTGCCATGAATAGCTACGTTATTAGATTCTGTATACATTACGGAGTCCCATGTTCAGCAGTTGGAACAGGCTTACGTTCAGCAGTGTACATTTTATGACTGATGTAATGATCAGGGCAGATGGAGCTTTTAAGTCGCTATAAAATCTACGAGAAAATAAAGTAGAATAATAATGAAGCGATTCCATTGTTTGTTGTGAATTAAGAAAGTCGAAAGGTCGTGGTGGCCCGGAGGTTTAAGGCGCCCTCTTCTCATGCATGAGGAGGGTTCGAAATATACCAACGGCAAGTATGTACCAATGTGACTTTTTCCGAGTCATATGTACTTTCTAAGATTATCTAGACACCACTGACAAACTGTGACGGAAAACATCGAACTTAGGTTTATTCTTTTTAATTGTAAGTTTGTAATCGCAAACCCGCATAGAGTAAGCGTGGTGATTATTGCTCAAACCTTTTCCGTGTGAGAATGTTGATGATGATAATGATAATGAAGAAAGTCGTGTCTTGCAAGATAAATTACTTTGCCTGGTCGTATTGTTTCACAATTCTTATAGGAAGTAAGTCAAAGTGTTTCGTTATAAGTATATTAACCTGATCATTAATTATAATAAAAAAACAAGTAATTAGTTATACTTTAACAAATTACACTTTAATAAACGCGAACGAATATTTTCTATTGGCAGAAAATTAAAGTTGTAATCAGCAAAAACTGTTCTTTTCTGCTGATCCTCATTTTTTGGCAGGCTATGAATGTATTTACGTGATTGTCGAAGTTAATTTTACTTTAGCATTAGTCATTTAGGTTTCTCCATATTCCATATTTTGAGGTAGACAGCCGAAGTACACAAACAGTGCACTCGTGTGATGGAAGTAATTTTGGAAAGGTCCTTGCTCTAAGGAATAAGTAGGTACTTTCATCTCGAATTGAACGAGGACACTTAGTACATTGCAATGCCCGGGAAAGAAGTCGTTTAAATGTGTGAGGATAAATAAATTGGTTAAAATTACATCGTATCGTACGTAATCACTATAAGTGATAAGACCGCCTTTGTGCCCATTATTGTTTTTCTTTATGTTTGTCATTTCCTTTTCTGTATGTACTATATTATTAATGGTATACAATAAAGTTATATTCTATTCTATTCTATCGTACCTAAGTATTTATACAATCAAAGAACTTTTACTCTGTTATTTTTAAGAATTTTGTGGGCTGTATTTGAGATATATAGGTATAAGTTTTGTGAACTTTTTCTTGAGAAATATATTATATTATATTAGCTGTTGCCCGCTGCTTAGCTCGTGTGGCCGAAGGAACAATTGATTATCATTCTCTATCTTCTAACTATCATCAGGCAAAAAAGTAAACCATAAGATCTCTCCCATGGCGACTTTAATTAACCTACAACAACACGAACTTTCATTCCTACAGGTTTGGACGAGGCCTGAAAACGTTACAAGATCTCCTGAAACAGGCTAAAGCGGGAAAAGAAATAAAAAATGAGGACATACCTCCTCCAGTTGCGGTGGGTAAACCAGCAGGTGCAGCAGATCCTCAACCACCACCGCCGGAGGCCAGTCCTCCAGAACAGCCTCTTATAGATTTGGGGCCTCCAGAACCTGAACCGAGCCCTCCCAGTCCTCCTGAACCCACACCAGCACCAGAATCAAGTCAGAGTACAGGAGATGAAAGACACAGAGAGTTGCAGATTATTTTGAGTGAGTTTCTCTTTTGTTTTCTCTCGTTAATTACTTAATGGTGGATGTTTATATTTTTCGGGTTACTCACGTAATTATTTGACGAGGGACTCGACTAGTTTCAAGCCATGCTAGAGGTTCATATTCATGGGCAGCATAGCGCGACCCGCGATCGCGCTGCTACATAGTTGTCGAACTGCTAACTAGTCGAGTGCCTTGTCAAATTAATTTAGTATGTCTCACGAAAGTTATAACATTAGTGGTGAATACTTTATTCTTCTCTTATTGATTTAAGGTTAAGGTATTGCGCGGGTCATTTTTAGTTTTAGTGGTTTCACCTTTTGGTATGCTATCTCCATCTTAAACTGTCAAACACCGCGAGGACACCGGTGTCCGCACACCTATTGTTCTTTAATTGAGTCTATAATGACGGTACTCAAAGGGTTAAGAATTTGGTTTTCCTGTTTTCCTAGAAAGACCCCTTGTACCATGGTAGAAAAGCTTTATTTCGAGTTTATCGCACCGACTTGTCATTGTAATATCCTAAATTATACCCTAGCAAAATCATAATAATTAGCATATCAACACATTTATAATGGCTTACAATAGGAGAGATTTGCAACTTTGGACAGCACCTACTCCTTTTTAGTAAGACTTGGCTCGGAAAAGGGGTGCTTAACCTCTTATCTGCCACAATAGAAAAGACATTGTGTCTCGTGTATACCTATTTTCCGGCATATCAGGGGTTAAGCCTCAATTTTTTTAAGCAGCAATAAATATTTCGTTTTTTTATTGTTTCTCTTAGTCTGTTATGTATTTTTAATCTTGTATAGTACTCACACCATATTAATTAATTTATCAAAATCCTACTGCCTCGATGGCCGAGTGGTCGCAAGTGCGACTGCCGGGCAAGGGGTCTCGGGTTCGATTCCTGGGTCAGGCAAAATATTACTAGGTTTTTAAAAAAAATCTCAGTAGTAGCACGGAGTCTGGAAATGTGCCTGGTATATGGCAATAGGCTCACCCCCTATTACATGGGACTCATAACAACAATAGTGAAAAGTGGGTGTTACTTCTGTGTGCACCCCGCCTACCCCTTCGGGGATAAAAGGCGTGATGTTATGTTATGTTCAAAATCCTAAACGTGAGGACTTGTAATTGGCTCATTGTTACCTACGCCTTTTGTTATTTTTATCCAATTTTTATAAGCTGTAAGTCCTCCATGAATCCTTACTAATATTATAAATTGGAATGTGAGTTTGTTTGTTTGCAGACGTAAAGTTAGAAGTCTGGATTAAATAATAGGGTACTTTTTATCTCGGAAAAATTTGATTCCCGAGGGAAAACAAAAGTATTGGTGTAGATGGCGTTGTGTGTATCGGTATATGTCACATAGGCTACTTTTTATCCTTTTTTGACGCGAGCGAAGCCGCGGGTAAAAGCTAGTTATAAATAAATAAATAAACAAAAGACGCGAAAAAAGTTTACTTATAAGATCCGAACTAAGTGAACATCAGTTTTCTAACACTATATTTGAATTTCTAGATCGCCAAGCAGAATTTAAAGCACAGGCTTTAGCAGCGAAGAAGACTGGAGACAAATTCTTGGCTCTTGGCTTCCTGAAGGTGACGAAGCAGTTTGACACAGTGGTGGAAGCTCATAAGAGTGGCCAGGTGATGGACCTCAATGAGCTGCCCACTGTGGACATGATCAGGGCGGCTCTGGAACAGGAGAGGGGTCAGCAAGGACAGGAGTCTATGCAGACTTCATCTGGTAAGTGAGGCAGTTTAAAATAGTTGATGTCCTTTGTAGTTACCGGTTATTGTGTGATTGTGATATTAGTGCTATTATATAAGAGAAGAAATTACTGTTAGACAAGAAGAACAACTGCTTGTAGACAAAAGTGACATTACCGAAAATAACAAACTTTTTTTAATCGCTAATCTCTGCCTAAGTTTTTTTTATGGGATAAGCCGAGAAACGAGTAGACGGATCACCTGATGTTAAGCAATCGGCGACGCTCATGGACACCCGACCACCAGGCGTTACATGTGCGTTACCGGCCTTTTGGGGATTATGAATTTGAGGATTGTTGGGGATTCAGGGGTTGGGGAGATTGAGGAAGGGGGATATTGGGCCTCCGGTAACCTCACTCACAAGACGAAACACAAAGCTAGTGTTGTTTCACGTCGGTCTTCTGTGAGGCCGTGGTATCACGCCGGTCGAGCCGGCCCATTCGTGCCGAAGCATGGCTCTCCTACACTTGGAAGTGCTTACCTAGGAAGTTTGGGCTTACTCAATGTAACACTTCTTAGACAATAATACTTTAACCGTCGCTGTTCTCAATCAACTAGGCATTTGGCACTACTAAAAGAGAATTTTATTCATAAACGATTTGATCAACAAAGTGCCTAGTTAAAAAATACGCTTTTTGAAATTAGCCCCGGCAGAAGACACAAGTGGCGGTGGAGGGGGAGGTTTGATAATGGCGAAGACTTTAGGAGAGGGACTGCATCAGAGACTGGAAGCTTTTAAAGTAAGTACATACATATATTTATTTTGTAAAATGTGAGGTTTTCATGTGTTTTAGAATAAGGACATTATTCATATACCTATATGGTTTAGATGTTTTTATAATAACTACCGTGAGACATACTAAATTAATTAAAAGTCGCGGGTTACTCACGTGAATATACTGAGAAAAGCTCTACTAGTTTCGAACCACAGAGGGGTTCTTTCTCATGAGCAGCGTGTGCGGTCGCGACGATATCGCGCAGCTCACTGGCTAACGTTGGCGCTCGCATCGGTGTAGCAGCTACACGGATGCGAGCGAGAGCTACACTGTAGCTACTTGCTCCTCGACCCCCCGCGCCCCCCGCGCCCCCCGCCGGACACCACGAGCGTTTGCTTTCAACCGGGCGGCAGCGCGTGCGACGAATTGGAAACGCACGATGCGGTCACCAGCGGCGCGGGTAGTGGGTTCAATTCCGGGTTCGGTACACTAGTAGCACTTTTCTTAGTACTTTCACGTGAGTAACCCGCGATGTTAAGTTAATTTAGTTTACATTCCCCTTAATATTTTTAAACCTCACTGAGTTGTTGTGAGATGAATGTTATTTATAACAAAAAATCCTTTTTATGACAGAAACAAGAAGAAAAAGCGAAGGAAGAAGGTAACTCGTCGAAGGCTCGTCGTATGAACAGGATCATCAAGCAATATGCTGACGCCATCAAACGCCATGAGGCTGGACATGCTATTGATGTAGAGGAACTACCAGCGCCGGCGGGGTACGGACCGCTACCTACTGGGAATGCTGTAAGTATTATGTGAACTTAAAATTATATCTTATATTTTTACAAAAGGTTAAATTAGATTTAACACTCGCTTATAACTGGTGCCATTTTGGCCATCTTCGAAAAACCCATTTAGAGTTTACGCGAACTGAAGTCAAACCTCTTAACTCTTTTCCGGCAGCCACACTTTTTTTTTGAGAATGGAAAATCGTCTAAAAACTTCTTCCGCCTTAGGTTAGGCGAGAGGGAGTGTCAGACTCTTACTGACTAAAAACCATCTCGTTCCTACTCCTGCTCTTGGAGCCGTAGTTTCGGCAATCCGTTAAGTTCTCCGCGGCTCCGTATCAGCCCTGTTGGGCCCCATCTGTGGTGGTCTGATGGCTCTTTGAGGTGCGCGCGGAACGCTCGGCGCCGTACGCTCGGGTCTGTTTCTGGTCGGACGGGGAGCCACCCATGCTCGCCGTCCGCAGGCCCGCGCTTACGGTGGCCGGAGATCGTCTCGCGATCGTGTGAGGTGGTTCGTTCCCTCACGCGCCTCCTCCTTAGCTAGCATAACTGCTTCGCAGATGAAGGAGACCCCGTATCCACACTTGCAATCACTATAACACTCGTAAGTTAAATAGCCGTAGATCAATATTTATATTATTTCATCACTTACTTGAATTGATTATTAGGCTCGCCTCAACCTCAATCTACTACCTACTCAAACTTATTTATCACCGATTACTATATTTAGTATTTAATAATTTTTCTCTTATCTTCAGCCGCAGCCCTCTCCCTCCCCCGCGCGGTCGACGCCAGCGCCCTCTGAGCCCAGTCCCAGCACTGGGCAAAGTGCACGACGAGACCAAATAGTAGCCCTGCTCATCAAGAGACAAACGCAGTTCAAGGAAGCAGCTCTATTTCATAAGAAGAAAGGTAAGCTTCGTTATTAATAACTTTAGGGGTAACTGATCAGAGAAGTTATTACGCCGTCAGAATTGTTCCATTGAGGGAAAGAATCAGAGCTATACAAGTCGTCTAGCGCCGTCTCGTTCCCTCAACGGAACCACTCTGGCTTGTCGTCATAATACGCCACCAGTGTGCCTATTGCCGTATATCAGGCACAATTTCAGACTCCGTGCTACAACTGAGATTTTTTTTAAAAACCCAGTAATATTTTGCCCGACCCGGGAATCGACACCCCTTGCCCGGCAGTAGTACTTGCGACCACTCGGCCAACGAGGCAAATTAATATAGTTGTCACTACAAATACTTTGTATAATGATAGAGATGGCACGATATTTAAGTACAATTAAAATCGAGTAACCTTTAAGTATTCGGTCGTAAGAGTGTTGAAAAATGCATTCTACTCTACTACCTTTTTTTATGGCATAAGCCGGTAAACGAGCAGACGGATCACCTGATGGTAAGCAATCGGCGTCGCCCATGGACACCTGGAACACCGAAGGCGTTACAAGTGCGTCACCGGCTTTTTGGGGATTAGGAGTTTGAGGATCGTTGGGGATTCAGGGATTGGGGAGATTGAGGAAGGGGAAGATAATTGGGCCTCCGGTAACCTCGCTCACACGACGAAACACAACGCAAGCGTTGCTTCACGTCGGTATTCTGTGAGGCCGTGGTATCACTCCGGTCGAGCCGGCCCATTCGTGCCGAAGCATGGCTCTCCCACACTTAATGACTGAAAGTTACATGTTTACAGGCGAAGTGGATATGGCGCTACAGTACCTTAGAAACGCAAAGCGGTTCGACCCTCTAATAGAAGCGGCGAAGGCTGGAAAGACCATAGACCTGAGCAACCTGCCCACCCTGCCACGAACTACGACTAGTAATAAAGCGTAAGTATTATTAATATTTTAATTATTATATTATATGACGTGTATAACGAAAATAAATTAATGCTAGCTTATTCATTGATTGTCAAAGCATAGTCGTCTTTATAGCTTTCCTTCCAGTCGCATAAAAGCAACATAACATAATATCACGCCTTTGCCCCCGATGGGGTAGGCAGAGGTGCACATTAGGGCACTTAATGCCACTGTACAATGTAACACTCACTTTTCACTATTTATGTTATGAGTCCCATGTAATAGGGGGTGAGCCTATTGCCATACCGGGCTCTATTCCAGACTCCGTGCAACTACTGAGATTTTTTTAAAAAACCCAGTAATACTTTGCCCGACCTGATACCCCTTGTCCAGTAGTTGCACTTGCGACCACTCGGCCAATGAGGCAGTCGCGTAAAAAATAAAGCTAAAAACTCTCTTTCTAAAATCTACTACTAAAGCTAGTATTATGACTGAATAAACAACCAAAATTTATTTCGTTCAATAATTTATCTAAATAAAATAATTATTATTACTTACTACTCTTTATAAAATAAGTAACAATGCGCTTTTCAAAACTACTTCAACTTTGCGCAACACAACAGTCACTTGCACAATTTAAGCGCAACGATGCGCAAACCATATACTCAATCTTCAACAAAAATGACTTCAGGAGAGAGGGGTCTGGAGACAGTTCTCTTCTTGACAGCTCTTCGACAGATGAACCTTCAGGGGCTTCGCATGATGGATGGGTGGATGTTGGAGCCATGGTAAGCGGGACCAGTGAGGACGGGTCCACCAGCCTTATAAACCAGTTGGAGTCTCAAGCGAAAATGGCCAAGGAATATATGAGACACTGCCAGAATATGGGTCATGTTGCCGAAGCAAAGATGTATGAGAAACTCGCTGTGAGGGTGAAAGAGGATCTTGATGTGTTAAGAGTTGCTGTGTTGTGAGTATAATTTTTATTATTTTGAGTTTCATGGTCGTTTTTGGGGGTATAAAGTTTAGTTAACAAATTATTGTTTGAAATCTAGTTTTTTTTTATGGGATAAGTCGTTAAACGAGCAGACGGATCACCTGATGGTAAGCAATCGACGTCGCCCATGGACACCTGGATCACCAGAACTGTTACAAGTGCGTTACCGATCTTTTAGGGGATAGGTATTTGAGGATTATTGAGGATTCAGGGATTGGGGAGATTGGGGGAGGATAATTGGGCCTCTGGTAACCTCACTCACACGACGAAACACAGCGCAAGCGTTTTTTCACGTCGGTTTTTCTGCTCGGCCGTGGTATCACTCCGGTCGAGCCGGCCCATTCGTGCCGAACCATGGCTCAGCCCCACTTAGTGTTTAGAGTTACACTTTACATGCCCACTCCTAAATAGACTAATTTTAGTCCTTTGATCATGGATTAGATTTATATAGTAATGGTTGTTTAACCTAGAATTCGGGTCTAGGTATCATGTGTATGTGAACTTATATGTTCGTAAATGCACCTACGATACAGGAGAAAATCTTAGTGTGGGGCAATGTTTTTTTTAAATACGTTTAGAAATTATTTGATAATTTGAAATGGCACTGAAACTATTATTTTAATTTTTTCTATAAAATTATATTCATTTATACAATTAATTTCACATTCCAGAAACAATCGAGGTCTACCCAACTTCCACTACGTGACGAGAGAGTTTTCAATCACACAATGCAATACCGACCTTGGTGTTAACGATTTGGAGTTGAAAATCGTGCGAGGCATCGCTTACAATGTCGCTAAGGACATTGATACCTACGTTAAATTTGAGTTCCCATTCCCACAGGTCAGTATTTATTTGTTTTATTAAGATACTTAAAATATCTAAATTCCTAGTTACGTTTTATTTGTCAATTATATCATCTGCATTATTTTCTCAACACAGCGCATGACTGCCTCGTTGGCCGAGTTGGTTGCTAGTGCGACTGCCAGGCAAGGGGTCTCGGGTTCGATTCCCGGATCGGGCGAAGCATAACTAGGGTTGTTAAAAAATTTTAGTAGTAGCACGGAGCATGGTATTGTGTCCGGTATATGGCAATGAACTCCACTATTTCTATATTGCAGGAAGCCCCGGTATCAGACAGAACAGACGTGGTGAAGAACTCGAATAGTCCGGAGTACAACGCCGTGTTTCCACTCACCATAACCAGAAACAGAGCTTGTCAACGAGTGTTCAAGCGACACGGAATCAAACTGGAGGTCTGGAGCAAAGGGTAAGCAATTTTAAATTGAGACATTTTGATTTTACTATTGGCTTTATTCATTGTAACATCATAATCTTAAACTTTTACTAATACTTAGAATCAGATGATCCGACAAAATGATATACAACATGTAACTTAAATAACGCACATCCTGAAAATAGTTTGTTCAGGATCGTTAACTGAATCGATTTATATAATTTTTAGTATAGGTAATTTTTTATCCCAAAAATAAGTAAAACTACGGAAATTATTGTCATATTAACCCTGTATTGTTAAAACAAATCGAAATGGACCGTAAGTCAAAGCAATAAGACTTTTAAAATCGCAGTTTTATTTGTGTTCATACAAATTCTATCATTCAATTACAAAATAAAGAAAAATAAACCTTATGGCAAGACCAGTAAGGATGCATATACATGTTAAATTAAAAATTTAGTGTATGTATTATGATTATAACATAATATTCTAATTGGGGTGCTTGAGGGTGTGCGTTAATTACGTTACCTGTTGTATATCACAAAAAGTCATTGAATTTATATTGGATATATATATCATGACTAGCTTATACGGCAAACTACAGGTCCCGCCTAAAAACTTTTTCTCACCTTTTAAACTTCCCCGAACTTCCACGAACATTTCAAGATCAAATTTAGCCAAATCGGTTCAGCCGTTCTCGAGTTTTAGGGATACTAACGAACGGAAATTCATTTTAATTTTATACTAGCTTCTGTCCGCGACTTCGTACGCGCAATCCCGTTTTCTCTCGTTCCTGTAGGATTTTCACGATTTTTTCTGTCATAAAAACCTTCTCCTGACAATAACAAATACAACAACAAAAAAAAAATCAGCCAAATCGGTTCAGCCGTTTTCAAGTTATGGCGTGACAACGTATTATACACTCACAGAAGAATTATATATATAAAGATTATAAGATAAGATATACATATATCCATTGATATCCTTCGAACCCTGCTAATACACAGCAGCAACCCGCCCCTAGTTCACACGGGATTTCTTTCATAAAATCTTCTATTGACAATAACAATTATAACCAAAAAAGAAATCAGCCCTTGAAGCGTGGTGGTGACGACTAAAGGAAATGTTTAAATGCCATTATGCCTAGGGGCTGTACAGTGTACATATAAGAGATTTTTTTATTATATTACTGTGTGTCTGATGTAACTGTCTATAAAAAACAACATTTTATCATGCCATAAGTCCTATGTTATAGAGGGGTGAGCCTATTGCCATATACCGGGCACATTTCCAAACTCAGATTTTTTTTTAAAACCTAGTAATACTTTACCCGACTCGGGGAAAAGGTGTATATAATATTCTGTTAAATAATACTGTACATAATTTAGCTGTGATATAGCTAGTTATATATATAGACTAGTACATGGAAGAAACGGGGAATGGTGACTTTGGATCGTTCGTCACAGCTCGTCTCCCGTAGGTGATAATATGTAGCATATATGTTGGCCTGGCCTGTTTGTAATATTCATGCAAAATCTGAAGTAAATCTATGCAGTAAAAAGTTTAGCCCGGACATACATACGGACAAACAGACAAAAATTCCAACAACTATATTTTTGGTTTCGGTATCGATGGTACATTATACACCAAGTATTCTTTTAAAAAATATTGAATGTACAGTTTTTATGATCGAGACCTTTCTATGATTTCATTATATGTATAGAATAGATAGATAAGTAGATAGATTCATTTATTTGTCTGAAATATGGTGTTATATTATAACATAACAATAGTTCATTACACTTATACTACGGCTATAAATTCTGCATGCAAAAATATTTTATTAGTATTGCAAGTTTTTGATATTATGATGTTAGGTAGTGTTCTAGATAATTTTTTGCTTAATTCGGTAGTACTAGATATTACAGTACATTTTGAATGCCTTAGATTAGTATAGGAATTTTGCATTTCTTATCTTGATATAATATATAGTATGTGTGGCGTGAAAAAATATAAACTTTAACATTGTGTTTATTTATTCTTCTTGTGAAATACAAATTAGTTCTTTTCTCTTTGTCGTTTATTTTTTGTACAGACAAAGATTGGTAGCTTTTTTGTAGGTAATATTTTTTCTACTTTTTATTTGTTGCAAAAGACGTTGCCCACTCGGATTTATTATTTATGCTATCTTCGGTTGTCACATATTATTATTACTCGTCATAATTCTAACTTTAATTTAACTTCTCATTCTCATTTCTACTTCTCAATTTCGCTTCATCTTTTGATTCTCATTTCATCTTTTCTATTCTTACTTCATCTCTTTGCTTGTATATTCCTAGTGTTCATTATTATTTCATTGTTATTTTTTCATTCTGTAAATGTGGGAGAGTCATGCTTCGGCACGAATGGGCCGGCTCGACCTGAGTGAGTGATGGTTGATGATGATATCACGGTCTTACAGAAAACCAAATAAAAATGTTAACTCCATCAAAGTCGAAGTCAAAATCATTTATTTCAATTTAATTTATTTCGACTAGGAAAACACTTCTGAATGTCAACAAAAAAAAAGTTAAGTTATTTGCTCATTCGAAAATGTAAATTCCTATAAAGAAGAACGAGCCAGAAACTTCATTCCACCTTCATTTCTGTGTATGTCCTTAGTGTAGTTTTCATTCTCATTTCCTCTTGTGCTTGTATATCCTTCTGGTTGTTCCGCAAACGCGGATTGTCGTTTCCATCTCGTAGCGTGTACGCTCGTAGTGTGGAGTGGCATGTGTAGCGGGCGTGGGTCGCAGGTGGGGGTGCGCTGAGTCCGTGCTCTGTTGCAGCGGCTGGTTCCGGAGCGACACGCTGCTCGCCACCGCCAACGTCAAGCTCGCGCCGCTGCAGGACTCTGTCACGCTTCATGACTCTTTTGCTGTAAGTACTTTTACGTACGCCTAACGTGTTTTCTCAAACACTTAGAGTCTCATTTGCCCACCAACTCGCCTAGTGGAAGACGATGTTTGTTACCACATAACATCAATAAAGAAAGAAAATAGAAAGATATTAATAGAACATTTCATTTGCACACCGTCACAAAATACATTAACACGAAGAAATTTAAAAAACAGTGAAGTTGGTGCAAAAAGGCCAGAGCTCAGCTTAAATGCCATGACCCGACATCACGCCTTTTTATCTCCAAAGGGGTAGACAGAGGTGCACATTACGAGACTTAATGCCACTGTACAATGTAACACCCACTTTTCACTATTTATGTTATTTGTCCCATGTATGTATGTGGGTGAGCCTATTGCCATATACCGGGCACAATTCCAAACTCCGTGCTACTACTGAGATTTTTTTTAAAAACCCAGTAGTACTCTAATTTGACTTTGTTTGTTACCATAATACAAATTGTTTTCTGTTAAAACCAGTCTTTAAATACTTACAAAATTTATCTGTCTCCAGTAGTACTGAACAGCTACAATTTTATTACACTTCTGAACTCCCAGTTCAGTTTGTATCGGAATTTCTCTTACTGCTGTTTGATCGTACTAGGCCCTGTTTCTGTCAAAACAATCAAAACAAACAAATAAAATACATTTTGACGAGTAAAAAAATATCTAAATAGACACAAAAAATAATTTTAACATTATATATTTCAGCTATTCGACGGCAGGCGGGCAGTGGGAGGGTCTCTGGAAGTCCAGGTGCGCGTGCGCACACCTATATTACAGCAAGAAGTCAAAACTGAAAAACATCGCTGGTTGGTCTTAGACGATGTCTAAACGTTATTTAATTACACGAAGAATAAAAACTAAATATCAGGTTTTCTAAAAACTTGACAATTTAAGTGATAGGTGATGCAAGGTGCAGCAAATAAATGCAACACGCAAGTGCAAGTTCAGGTCATTAAGTTGAATTGTTTTTAAACGACTTCAAAAAACGACGTTCTCAGTTTAACCTGTATGTATCTATGTTTGTGCGCGACTATCTCTTAATTAGATGTACCGATTTTGATGCGGCGCTTAGTAGAAGGTTTTAGTACCTATATTAAATAACCAACTTCCAAAAGAGGGGGTTGAAGTTGGTGTTTTTTCAATGTAGTTTATTAAAGAACTAGCGACGCGCCTGGCTTCGCACGGGTGCAATATGCATGTATTATACAAATAAACCTTCCTTAAAAATAAATATATCTATTTAAAAAAAACCGCATCAAAATCCATTGCGTAGTTTTAAAGATCTAAGCATACATAGGGATTTTTTTTAAGGGGGGAAAATCATCTAATGACTGCTCCCACCTGGGTGAGGCGGGAGGGAGTGTCAGACTCTTACTGACTAAAAACCACCCCGTTTCTTCTCCTGCACCGACGTGCCGGGGCTCCGGGGCTCCGGCTCGACAGCCGGAGCCCCGGTTACCCGTTAGTTTCTCCGCGACAAGCATACATAGGGATAGACAGACGGCGGATAGCGACTTTGTTTTATACTATGTAGTGATTACTAATATTGCAGATTGATTTTCATGCAAGTTGATTCACAAATCCGGTCGATTCTCTTGAAACGATCTTAATTTTCAATAGTCCGTGACAGTAGCGTTGGACTAAGGCATCTTCTACAGATGACTTCTCCGACAGAGATAGCGCGATATTTAAGTACAATTTAAAATTGAATAGCCTTTCAATATTCGGGCGTTAGTGACTGACTCATTAGTGAATCGACACTTATGATTTCTGTGGGAGACTTCTTTAAGTTGTTCAATTGGGTAGTTTCCAGGGTATCAAAATTAAAAATCTAATTAGTCCGTCAGTTAAATAATTAAAAAATATTAGACACGTATTTTTTATTTTCTCGTATTAACCCCGCGAGCGTCCTTTTCAGCACCTGGTGGACCATAAGAAAAAATGCTCCAAATGTCACGTGTGCACCCGTTGGATCAAAAGAAACGCGGGCGCTCGACGGGTTAAGTTGCAATACTTAGATAAAATGGCGCTAAGTTTAAGTGTGGAAGGTCGTTACGTCATAACGTGCTACAAAATGTGGCACGCTGTGACGTCACACGATATTTCAAATTAATATATCGTCGAAAGTATTTAATTTTGTGAGAAAAGAAAAAATACGTGTCTAAAGTTATAAATTACTGTACCAGACGGACATAAAAATAAAATTTAGGACTCTACCCTATTTTATGACCTGAATCAGCACTTACAAGACGTCGACTTTATCTTGTTACACCCTGCATAGAATTTAGAAAGCTGGTACTATTTTTTTAATGCAATAGTTTTTAAGGTTACCATGGTAACGAACTAATACTCAGACATGTCACGTAAGTGCCGTTTTGAGTAATGTAAATTGCATAAAAATTTAAAGTGATCTAATTTTAAGTATAAATAATGGAATTATGATATTGTATAAGAAGTTTCATTAAAGTATTTTTTAAAGATTCCTGCAAAATTACATTGCATGTAAAAAATAAACAAAAATAAACAACGAGAGTTTCCATCTTGATTTCACTAGATGGCGTTAGAGACAACAATAAACTCTTGCGCATGACCAATAACTGTTGTATGTGCATTTTCGAATAAAATAACCTAGTAAACCTCATGCTTAAAAATATTATTTTGTATAAATATAATTTGATTTATTTTTTAATATGGGAGGAAAGTTAAAATATTTTTTTTAATTAGAAAAAATAATTAAGGCTTGTAAATTAAACAAAATATATAATTTTAAAGTTAGTAAATGGCTTTTTATAGTAGTTTTTATAAGAAATCTCACTTTAAATATCCTGCCATTTTCATTTTTAATTTTTATTTTCGTTGTCACAAAATTATTGATGTGAAATTATAATATTTTCGAATTTAAACGCAATTTCAAACTAAATCTTGGGTTATTTGAATTATCCCTAAATATGACTTAAATGTACGCACATAAAGGTAATAAAAAAGAAACGTGCATTTAAAATTATCCTAAAAACAACTCTATGCACTGTCTATAAGACATAATTTTAATTGTACAAGCGAGGCTGTATTTGCACTATGCAGCTTGTAAAGTCCACTATAAAATTGCTTTATCATCAATAAGGTTTAAATTAGTTTAATTTTCCTAAAGTTATAAGGTTCATTTTCGCTCAAATAACGAGTATTTGTGTAAAACAATGAACCTTATTGCAATTTTTATGTTAAAGGAATTTGAACATAATGGTGAAGCAATTTTTTCGTAGATTAATTATTTTATTATTGTAAATTATGAATATATTATGTTGTATGTTAATAATGTAATTATTAAAGATCTGGTTGATCGGTTTTTGTATGTTTTATTTACTATTTTCTACTAGTCTTATGTTTGTATAAAAATAACTATAAACTACCACCATCACGAAACTATTCGACAAGAGAACTTTACTCAAGATTATGGGCCCCTGTCATAACCCGAAACTAATCGAAGTATCTCGTCAAATAGTAAAATGAATAATTTGCACAACATAAATGAATTTATGCGTTTTAATCAATGTTTTATTCATTTATATATACATCTCATTATATATACAACTTCCTATAATAATAAAATATAGTATCAAAGTCAAGGCGATACACTGATGACAAACACGTGTTGGAATCCGATTGAAATCGGTTTAGCTACCTGGCTTGCTAAACAACTGACACATCACCAAATTATCTTGACCCTTGTTCTTTAACACACAGTACGCATCTAAAGGTCAAATTAGTATGGTACTGGAGTCAGGAATGACCATTTTTGAAAGAGCTCTTGTGTGTTATGATTTGTATTATACGGTAGGTCTTGCTTTTCTGGTTATTTAAATAGTGTATTAGCATTATTAAAATTGCAAATATGTGCAGTTGATTGACACGTTATCTTGTCAAGTGACTTTGTACTCTAAGTTTTGTGATGTAAGTTCTATTTTATTTTGCATTGTGCAGTTGTACTTGAAATGTACTTAAAGACTGAATCACGAAGGCGCGAGACGTTTTGGTACCATATTCGTTCTAATTACTTGTATCAGTTATTACCAGTTGAATGTGTCATAGATAAAGTTATAACAATTTGAAATAAAGTTAATGTTCTATATAAGTCATATCTCAGTGAGTTCCATTGAATAAGGACTACAGTTCTTTGCTCAACAGCATAACATAACATCACACCTTTTATCCCCGAAGGGGTAGGCAGAGGTGCACACAGAAGTAACACCCACTTTTCACTAAGTATTTATGTTATGAGTCCCATGTAATGTAAATACCTGGCACAATTCCAGACTCCCTGCTACTACTGAGATTTTGCTCAACAGATGGCGCCAATATAGCCTAAGGTCTGTTTGTCGAATCACTGTAGCTGTCAAAAATTAATAGTCTAATGATTTGATACTATTTAATTTTCACTAGCTTCTACTCGCGATCTTCGTAAGTGGATTATCAGGGTTTTTTCTGTCTTGAACCTTCTAATAATAACAAATACAACAAAAAAGAATTAGTGAAATAGGTTCAGCCATTGACAATACAATAAAAAAATATATGATTGATAATGCGGTGGTATAATGTAATAAATTAAATTAATTAAGAATAGGTATATATATTTAATAATAATAAACTGTAAATGTATGGATCCAATATGTCTGAAATAAAAATATATTATTTTATTGACGCGTGATGCTGTGACTAAGGGAAAAAAGACATCAATTTTGGAGTGACGCACTTAAAATACATATGTATGTATTTATGTATACAGTCTAGATTGATTACCTAGTTTTGCACAGGTAAGTACATATTAAGTATGTGTGAAGGTTACAAATCCAGTTGATACTAGATTCAGTCGTGGTTACATGACCAAGTCATTGAGACTTTAGTTATAAGTAGTATTTGTGTCAATATTTATTAAAGACTTTGTAATTATTGATTTTGGGCGCTAGAGGGCGTCTCGCTTTAATATAATTTTTTTAATATTTTACAGATATTTACATTTACCTTCGTACACATTTAATAGAGACGAGGCAGCAGTGCTCTTATAGATTTAAATACTTTGAAGTTTTGCACTGATCTGATCCATTAACGTCCAGTTTCTATATCCTACGACATGAGCTCCATACAAAATGTGTCAAAATTCTATCTCTAGTAAGCAAATCTACAGATAGATAGGTTATAACTGGACGTAAGTGATCCGTTTGCTCGTTTGCCTCCTATTCCATAAAAATACTTGCTTAATGAATTGTGCTCGCTTGATTTTGCTTGCTGAATTATGAACTGTACCAAATTCACTCATATAAAGGAGGCCCACCGTCCAACAAATCGGAACCGACTTCTAATTTGTAAATAAGATAAAGCACCTAGGAAAAGTTTATCCGCGTCTCAGAGAGCCATCAGACCACCACAGATGGGGCCCAATAGGGCTGTTGCCGATTCGGAGTCGCGGAGAACCTAACGGGTAACCGGGGCTCCGGCTCGACGCGCAGGAGAAGGAACGGGGTGGTTTTTAGTCAGTAAGAGTCTGACACTCCCTCCCGCCTCACCCAGGCGGGAGCAGTCATTCGATGATTTTCCCCCCTTAAAAAAATCCTCATAAATTACAATCATACTTATTAATAAGTAGAGGGGAATTCTCTTATTAGTACTATGTGTAAACGTTATTATAATTATATTATGCAAAAAATGTATTACAATAATACAAGAATGTCAATCATAAAGTTGCAAGCTTCCATGTTTAAATAGGTACGTGTAATAACATACCATAATAACCAGGTCGTTATTTCATAGTACTATCAAAATAAATGTTACAAAAT